TGCAGCTGCTGAACGCCGCATCCACTTGCACGCTTTCGGAAACATTGTTCAACAATACTTTTCTGCGGACTCATGCACCTTTCCGTTCCCTCACCTTACTTCTCATCGTGGCAATTGAGTCTAACTGAAAACCCAAGTTCGAAGTGTGAAGGAGCTGTTCGGGGCAGTGCATCAGAAGTCTTGAGGAACTTGCCAGTTTTGCCGTGTTTCCTGAGGAACGTGACAGAGGGACTTCCTTCGAGAACAGATCCAGACATTGTGGATCCGCGCCTCAGCTGAGGACGGGAACCAGCAAGCACGACGATGGCCCACAACCCCCAAAGTATATGCAACAACATCATAATGCGTTTGATTCTGGGTTTTCTTCATTTTCAGCTGGTCAAAGTATGTTGTGCTATTGGGGCCTTGTTTTCCTGCCTTTTGACCCAAAAGCAGTTTGCTCCAGGCAACTTTCCAAGAATGGCACATTGACAGGGGCAGCTAGCAGCTAGCAACCCCCAAGCCTGAGTGTGACTTGACACAGATCACCCGGCACCGACTTGGCCGGCGCTGCCACGCCGTAAAATATGAGATAATATGAGTGTTATGTATATTTACAGTTTGAGGACCCATTACCCCTGGCTCCCTTGACACAGGTGTTTCTCCGCCGAAACTTCCACCCACCAAGGCCCAAAATTGTTAGTATTGATTGGAATTTGGTTGGCAGCAAACATCAAAACCGAAGATTATTTCAAATGATCGTCAATGTTGCGCATATTCACGGGCGGGCCCCAAGGCCTAAAATTGTGACGTTCTGGAATTTGGTTGGCAACAAACATGGAAACCCGGGATAGTTTCATATAGTTTCACATGATCGATAATGTACAAGATAAGTCTTTTTCAGGAGCCGTGTGTTGATGTGATCTTTCCACAGGCTCTGTGATTTTGGCCATGTGCTGGGGCTGATCCATCTTGACGCGCTAGGGTTTATTTGCTTTGTGTTGGGATTGACAAATGAGTTTTGTGTGTGTGTGTGGGTGGGTGGGTTGGGAGTTGAATCCCTTCTTCATACAATCAGCAACAACACCAGAAGGCTACAAACACATGCAAAGGCTGCAAGGACATGCTTGCCTTGCTTATTTGTTTTTGACCTTGGGTGCGGCTTCTTTCTCTAGTTTGACCTGGCGTTGTAGGCTTCCAGTCGACGGATTGAGGTTTGGCATACCAGTGCCCCTGCCAGCGAGGGTCAGCTTGGACGCCTTTGCCCTATTTCAGATCAAACAAAGTTGAGAAAGCGTGCTGTGACTAGTAAGGGTATACAAAAGAGCAAAGTAAGTGAGGCTTAGTGAAAGTAGCTATGAGCGCTCTATGCAAACTGAGAGGAATTTGATTGCTGCAAGAATGATATCTTAACACCTGAGATTGCTTTGGGAGTGGACCACATGGGAGGTGTTCTTCAGGAGCGCTTGGACTCGCCAACATGCTTGGGCACTGGCACATGCACGCAGGATGTGCGGCCTGATGGAGGTGAGGTGTTCATACTTGCAGCAGATGGGAGCATCATTGCGGGCGCAGGCTCGAACTGATGTTGTGTTGGGATTCAATGTAGTTGGTTTGCAGCAGTCTTCTTTACACGGATGCTGTTAGTCTCAATGTTGCAAAAGTACTTGCCTGCCAGCGGTCCTTCCTCTTTGGCATTCTCAATATTGCCACTGAAGGCGTTGTTGCCATTTCTTGCCAGGCTGGCAGGCCAGACCAGCTATTGGCGAAAGTGGCGAATTGCACCCCTGGGCTATCGCACTTTGGGTTTTGTTCGGTTAGTCATTGTCAAAGCCTGCACCTGTGTTATCCTGTAAAGAGGTGTCGCCCAGGAATTTCCCTGAGGCCTCCGACACATTATGTATGTTTGATTCTGCCACAAGAATTATACATGGAACGTGGCAACTGCAGAGTTTCAGGCCCAAGCACTGCCATCACGGCGGGGGAGATCCCTAGGGCTAAACTCGAAAACTCGCCAGAAGCAAGGCAGTGACCGCTTGTAGCAACGTTTGGAATGGGAAAAGGGCTTGACTATTGCGAAGCATTACCGTGAACTTGCAGATGGCATGCCCGTACGGCTTCCCGCTCACCAGGTTCTACAAAGTCACTTGAGGGGGCTCTCATCTACGACGTATTGCGAAAGTGCATAGAAGAGCTGGACTGCTATTTAACCTTGCTGCAAATCTGACAATGAGCGCCCCACTCCCGTTGAGCTAGGCATGGCCAGAAACCTTCAAAGAAGAGGAGCGTTAAAACGAAGAACATGGACTCCGGCAGATAAATAGGTGGGCCTGGTGCGTTTGCGCTGGCGAGGCAAAAGGCAGACAAAACCGCTGTAACTGTAATCGTGGGTGGCACCGCGCTTATGACAGAGACGGGCTTGGATTGAATGCAGGGTGCAGGGCGGGTCACCCAGAAATCAAAGCATCTCGGTCTTGAAGTTCCACAAAAGCGCAATTCAAAAGACGTTGCCACAATATTGAGCCCATCGTGCAGGAATCCCAAATTTGACTGCATGTGCTATGAAGAACTTCAACCAGCGAGACACTAGCAGAGCATGCAAGATATAGTGATAAGTTGAGGCAGTGACGGGTTAGCCCTTAGCAACCTCGCAACGAACCCATGCTGACCAAGATCTGTGAGATTTCCCTCGAAGCCAGAGGCACAGTTTGGCCCACGTCAGGGTCTTCCAGCTCGGGGTAGGAAAGGCATTTCAAAAGGCAAGCCGTTCACGTGATCATTGGGGTTTGCGCTGGAAGGATTTTGGAAAATGGGACAGCTGTCTAAAATAGTCGGTTTGCATGATGCTGTGTCAAACACGGGCAAACCATGGGATGTCAACAATTGCTATAGTATATCCTGCTGTCTCCCAGCAAAGTTGGGTTTGCTTTCCAGGTACCAAAAGATTTGGGAGATGCAGTTCGAGTGGGCAAAAGAACTCACTCCGGAGGCCTCCAAATCATTCACTTCAAATCACAAAATGTTTGTTTCTCCACGCCTTTGTGGTCAATCAAGTTGGAAGTTAGGTGGAAAGGTGTTTCTGGACAGTTTGTCGATGTTCCAGGCAGTTGTGGCTGAAGACCGCATCGAGTTCATGACTTCTGCGAGTGATTTAGCCAGATTCTTTGTCACCCTTCAGTTTGGGAGCGGCGTCATTTTGTGCAGTTAATATAGTTGATATTGTTGATATATTTTCAAGCAATTCAAAGATTTGGCTATATACTTGGAAAGAGCATGTTTGTTTAAGTAAGAATGTTGGCGGAAACATTGCAAGGTTCAAGCGGCAGAACCACCGGTGCAACAAAATCCATCCCACAGCAACGCCTGACAATTTCAAACCCAGGGCTCAAACTTGCACCCGCATGGTATGTTTAGCGAACATTACATGGCAGGGCATTCAGACTGCCACGTCAAGTTGTTGCCGTTGAACCAAGCGCCTTCGCACACGGAGCAGAATTGCCTACTCCTCAGATCAAAATTCATGAATTCAACCATTATTTTCAAACATACAGACCAGCTGAGGTTCCATGTCCAAATCAACTGTGTATTGGAGTCCTGGAGAGGCAAGCGCGGCAAACGGCTCAGTCTATATGAGTTTTTGTTTATGTTTATTTCGGATATTCTTGAATGGTTTCTCATGATGTGCCCCTTCCTAAATAATGGCATCAGAACATATGTGATAAACGTGTATTAATGGAGTTAGGAGGGCAGTATCATGGCATTGCCACGCGGAGGCAGATGATGCCACAGATTGCAATGTGAGTTAGGTGAAGAGCCCTTTGTTGGTTTTGCGTCTGGTGGAGTTTCAGGTGGTCGAGGACACTGGTTCTTCCAATTCCCATCCCGCTGGAGAAAACCAATTAACAATGCAGACCAGAGTGCTGTCATTAACTCGGAGTCCTCAAGACTTTGGAATATGCTGAAGCAAAGTTGAGGCGGCTTCCAAAATTGCGTTGGCAGTTTTGTTGTAGCGCCAGATAAACAAAACAAGAATAATATATAAACGTTGTTTGAGAAGGGTTGTGGATCTTTGCATGTACACCCCAGCCAATACACAAGGTCTCCAGATTCCAGAAGATGTGCTTTAAATCCCACTAACTCGTTCTTATTGGCTTGAGCCAAACGGCTGTGTTGAAAAGTGCACCGCCAGTTTCTCACAGGCAACCGCGACATGTAATCCACCAAACGACACGCTAAACGCATGATCATGATCGTAGCGTCATGATGCCTATTGGATCCTATTGGATTTTGATTCCTCAATGTCGATGCGCAGTTGAGAATATTCAACATTTGCATGCGGCCCCGGCCCCTAATTGAAAATGCGCAAGGAATTGCAACCCACCACAAACCACATAAGTCAGCTTGTTGATTCCTGCCGTGAACCGAATGGCACGGACCCCTCTCCTGAATCTTCATGCTAATTATAAGTTACGCAGACATAGAAGGTCATAGGCAAGCATTCACTTGTATTGCATTGCACTTGCTATAGACTTGGTATACAGTGGCTCATGTTTGTTTCCTTTCCGGCCTTCGTGGTGTGGCAGGCGAGCCTTTCAAGAGCTAGCCTCAACAAGCTGCTGCAGCCTGGGGACTGCTTTCCACAGCCGGTTGTTGCTGCACAGCCCTTGTTTCTGTGGATGTTTGTTGTGATTTATTCACTGTGCGGTTCACCTAGAGGACAAGCTGGATGTGACTGAAGCGATGATGAAGGCACATCCCTTGACAGTTTGTTCGTGTGCTTTGACGAATGTTGATCTCACCAGCCACATAGCAAAACCATGCCTTTTGGGTGGGTTTGGTGTGGATTCAACTCTGGATTGGGCTGCGCATAAAGCCTTTGAAGGGACTATCCACCCCAGCTCTCATTCATGGCTAAAGTGCCTTTCAAACAAATAAGCTGGCTACGCCTCCAAAGTCTTTCTTGCTTAGCTTATCTTTCAGCATGTTCTTGCTAGCCTGCTTATTCCCAGTGCCCTTGCCCAAAGCTGGCAACTCAAAATGTATTGCGGCAAAGTGAAGCTCTGTCTAGCAAAGAGGATTTTTTATCAGCAGAGAAGGTTAGCTTCCTGTTGACTGTATCCTAATAAAGTGTCCTATTGTATGCAAATAGTAAGAAGCACTTCTACGTAGGGGTCGGGTTCCTTTTGGCAGGAACCCCAAAAAATAACCTACGCTTGGTATTTGCAAAGCAAAAGCATTGCACTCCTGAGGCTGGTTGAGCTTTTGTATTGGGGCCCTTCTAAATCAGCTCTTTGGGCAAGGAACTCAACGTGAAACCTTTATGCAATGGTGAGTAACGTGGAAGGGATGCTTTGTAATTACACACGAGGGTGAAGTCTAAAGATTGGTTGAGTATTTGCAACGAAGTGCTCGTTCTTTTTCCCGATTTATATTATATATACAATATTACAAAAGCCAGACGATAGTGATAGGCTAGGCTGGAGTTGTCGATGGGCGAACGAAGTGAGTATTAGGGGGTGTGGGGGGGTAGTCGCACAGAGGCCAATCTGGGAGGGCGAGAGAGCAGAAAAAAAGTGCGTCAGAAAGGGAGTGAACATGTACGGTTTTGGGGGTGTTGTGATGCAATGTAATTGACGGCGAAGAGTGCAGCATTAGCATCATGAGGGGCTCAGGGGTCAAATTAAACGGTCTTCTACAAGGTGTGGGAGTTCGGACAACGGGACGCGAAAAATGGTTGGAATTCCTCCAAGAAAGGGAGACGTGCATTTGTGGAGGCTCTGTAAACAGTCTTCGACCAGGGGTGGCAGGGAGGTCTGCTTCACTCAACACACTGTTGTCTTGTGGAAATGATGTGATCTATGAGGCAGTGGGCCAGCTTTGTGTTGCTTGGGGGTGCCCTGTTTTTAATTGTGAAGAGGCCTGTTAACCAGAAGCAAAAAGGCACCCCATATGGGGGAGGAGGTCACGCGAGGGCGCGATAGGAAAAGAGGTGGGGAGCTCACCAGGAAGCGGGAAGCGCGTCGCTCAACGCTCTGTGGATCCATGATGCATGTGGACGCAATGCCGAGCTCTGTTTGTGCTGTACATAAGATTTCACTCACAGCAATCCCCCAAAGGGCCCCAAGTCTCCGCCTCGGAAAAGAGAGCTTCTATTCGGGAAAGAGTTTATAAATATGATGTGATATATAAGTCTATTCATAACTAAATACTTTTTATAACTGCGAAAGCCAGCCGATAGCCTGGCCTCAGCGATGAGATCTCCACAGGAATCTTTCCTTGATGCTATGCAATCCATGATCTTCGCAGTAGTCTCCCCCGATCCGCAGCCAAGCCAGTTCCTTCGGGGTACCCTTTTTCAGCTTGACAACGCCCTGGAACAACGGTAAGAAGGCACCCCCCGTACTATGTATTCTGCTTTCTGGTTTCTACCACCCGCCGGCGTGGCTACCGTGTCGACTTCACCCCATTACACTGCCACTCTCTGCGCTGGATGTTAATCACTCAGCTGTAACGTCGGGCCATCTACAAAGCAAGGATAACGAACGGCGCGCAAGCGCTCGTCGATTCCCTACGGGGTGCCTTTTCTCAGCCTCAAAACACCCTTCAATCAAAGGAAAAATGCAACCCCCCAAACCTAAATTTTATGCTTTCAATTACCCCATAACAAAGCCACTCTTTGCCCGATGTGAGACGCTCACTTGATTTGGGCTGTAACCTTGGAGTTAAGTCAAAGGACAAGGCGCCCCCCACCAAACCTATACCTTCTGCTTTCTATTTCCATCAGCAGTAGACATCACCGCCATGTCGACTTCCCCACATAACAATACGATCCACTCTTAACAGCACACCAGGTTTTTGAGTCCGTCCACAAAGCACGAGAAACAAACCGCAGACGAGCAATGACTTCGGAGTTCCCTTTTTTCTCTTCCAAACGCCCCTGCGTCCAAAAAAACGAAAGGCCCCACACCCCCCACCTGTGATTGAAGGCCTGTCATACCTGCGCTCTCGCGTTCTCCCCCGTTGACCATATTGAAGTCTTCTTACGGAGGCTGGCTTTCGTCCCATTTCGTCCCCTCCCTTCTCAAGTATTACAATATATGATTGTTAGCGCCTAAATGTCCCTATATAGTGAGGCTCCTGGCTACCGAAGACTTTTCCAGAGCCACGTTCGAGCATACTCGATCCAGCCCTGTTCTGGCGTATTGAACTTGACCTAACCTGCAGCCAGCAGAGATGGCATGAGTCAAACGAAACGTGGCCAGGATGGGCTGGGTAAGATATAGTCATGCCTGGCGTCGAAGGGTTTGTCCATTGATTGCCTCAAGACACTGGTGCCCTTTGTCTGTAACAAAGCTTACTTACTTCAACACTGCCAAAAATCCTGGGTAGCCTGCAGACTAGAGCTTTACTTGACAACCATACCAAACCTGGGATTGCACACCCTGTTCTCATGACTGGTTGTTCACCAGATTTGCACGTTTCCCCAAACAGCTTTGCTGTGAGGGGCTCTCAATTCTAGCATAAAAACGATGCTGGGACAAGATGATTCCCGCCCTTTGTCTCCCCGTGTCTCCCACGGCGTGTCTGGATGGTGGGCTGCGATGATTTTGCTTTGTCTCCCTTTGTCTCCCATGGCATGTCTGGCTGCTGGGCTCAGATGATTTGCTGTGTCTCCTTTCATCTGCGTGGCGTGTCTGTTTTGCTTTGTTTCCCTTTGTCTCTCTTTGTCCCCCCTTCTCTCCCCGTGTCTCCCATGGCATGTCTGGACGCTGGGCTGAGATGATTTTGCTGTGTCTCCCCTTGTCTCCCATGGCGTGTCTGGATGCTGGGCTGAGATGATTTTGCTTTTCTCCCTTTGTCTCCCATGGCGTGTCTGGATGCTGGGATCGAATCACTTTGCTTTGTCTCTCCTTGTCTCCCCTTGTTTCCCATGGCATGTCTGGACGCTGGGCTGAGATGACTTTGCTTTGTCTCCCTTTGTCTCCCCTTGTCTTGCATGGCTGAGATGATTTTGCTTTGTCTCCCGTTGGTTCCCCAAGCAGCTTTGCTGTGAGATGTTTTCAATTCTTGCTTAGAAACGGGCCTGGGCCAAGATGATTTCTTGCCTTTTGTTTCATTTTGTTTCCGTTTGTTTCTCCTATAGCTCTTCTTGGT